GTCCTACATAGTCCGTTATACGTTCACTCGGTGCAACAAAAGCCTTTTTCAAGAAGCTTCACAGTCACTCATGTACTCAATAAATCCCCCCCCCCCTACTGAACCATAACATGCGCCGGTTAAATCCATTCCACACAATTATACTCTGTAATATCCACTTCGCCGGGATCGTGGGTTCGAATCCCACTCAGGGTATGGATGTTTAGTTTGTGTGTGTGCGTTTTGCTGTGTTTGTGTACAGGTAGAGGCCTTGCGACGAGCTGATCAGACGCCGAAGGAGTCCTACCGTATGTCTAAGATGTAGAAAAACCGAAGTGAACGGAGAAGTTCATGGAGGTAGGCCTCGGCGCACTGGGGCTGTAGTGCCAAGGAAAAAAAAATACACTCCAATACTGATGCTGTTCTCTCGCTCCATATGTCTCACAACTTTCGTATTGTGCCGCTAAAATTCTGTATGCATTTCTCCCTGCGTGGAACATGCCCCAATCATTTTCTCTTCATGTTACCTGTCTAAATATTGAAGTTATGCAGCCTCAGTGCGCAGTTCTCTCACATAGACCACTATACCCTCGAACATGTGCATGAAATTAAATTCCTTGAAACCTTCCGAGCCAAACAATACAACGTACATCACAAGAATTCACCCCCCCCCCAAAAAAGCAGGCATACTTAAAATAAAACGCGGTGGGATATTTGATTTTCTCAAGTGGAGTATCAAGAACATCGCCTTCTGGCATATGTTATCATGTAGTCTACTAGGTAGTAACGTTTCGGAGGAACTCACTGTCTCCTAGTAGGAGTTCTTAAGCAACTCCGGTTCCCTGAAACCGTGATCTCACTGTTCAGTCACTCAAATCAACTGGTGTCCTAAGGCAGTGTACTCACTGTTAAGTTATTCATCATACAACTCTGTGGAGAGAGACAGCACAGAAATTACCGCAAAGTTTCCTGGTTTTTGATACTTCTTTTGGAGAAATAATGACGAGTTAATGCGAAATAGATAACTCTCTCGATGGGCCATCACCCATCGAACGTCTATATAACTATTCAGTGATTCAGAATCAATTCTGAATGGGAACAGTTACGGATTCCGTCTCACTAGCTAGTACGTTCGTTCTCCTATTTAAAACACGCCACGATCATGGAACTAAATTAACTTCTAAACCTACTAGTCTTATTCCATGTTCCAAGAGAAGATATTATCAGCTGTGCGGAGAATCGATCACGCGAACGATAAGACGTAGTTAAGACTTGGATCAGTTCCCCCACTCTTGACTAGCAACATAGCATTCACTTGACTGAACTTGCTTGACGTTAATTTCGTGTCTATCATTACGTAAACCCCACGTATCGTCATATATTCTACCTAGGAACTTCCATCTAAACGATACGCAAAATCGCACACGCGTCCTTCATGGTATTTTGTAGATAAAGAATCGTCGATAATGAATTCCTTCACGCGTCTGTCGATTATTGATTTTGAGTCTATCATACAAAAAAAAATTATTCAGTGTGTACATGCGATGCGGGTATGATATACACGAAAGCCGACGGGTTCGTGATATGCAGGACATCTAATCGCTACAGGACAGCAATATTCTTTCTTGTTACGTGCAAATGCGTGAGAGTATTGCTAGAATCACAGAGGGTACACCATCTACAGTATTAACACATATAAGGGCTGCGTCATAGCTCAAGCGGTTAGTCGCTGGCTTCCCACCGCAGCGGGCCGGGTTCGATCCCGGGTCTGGTCAAGTGGAATTTTTGGTGGACAAAGTGGCGCTGGGGCAGGTTTTCTCAGAGTACTTCGGTTTCCCCTGCCAATCTTCATTCCACCAATTGCTCCACAATCACCCTCACCTATCATCTGGGGCTGGTACAATAGGCCAGAGACTCCGTTAGGGTTGGTACCGAATTGTGGAAGGTATGAACTCTGACGCCTGGATGACCATGGGGTTACGTCTCCGTTAAGTTGCCACTCATAACGTGACAGAATTTGCATCAAAATGTCGGACACATTTCAGTCTACACGAGAAGAAAATTTAGTTTTCTGCTCAGCAACAAGTATCAGTTAGTATATATTTGCATGGCAACACAACTGATACGAGGTAACTATAGCAACCACGACTCAGATTTGTGAATTTTCATGTGCCAGTAGATAAGACTGTTCCCAAACATAGGTAACTTGTTAAAACAATTTCGCAATATTGCGGAACACAAGAATAAACTGTTATGTCGTGTTTGCGGTTTGTCAACTCTGGCAACAAAACAGACCGCTGGTAATAATCACAATATGGCAATTTTTAACTCGACTATGGTGGTGTATTCTCGTCAACCTAAGGTACGCACACTCCTGGCAGTGCATGTTACAACACCAGCATAAACGTGTTACAGCATGTTTGTGTCAGCTTTCGGACCGTGGGAGTCTGGACACAAACTCCTGCCTACGTACGCAGACGTCTCCCACCCAACCCTCTTAGCAAACGAGTGCATTCTAAGAACTTTACTGGTCTCATTCTGAGGTGAAGACAAATTCACGAATATTATCACAACTTCCTTCAATCAAAAGAATTTCAGCTGTTCTACTTGTCTCATTCTGAGGTGAAGACAAATTCACGAATATTATCACAACTTCCTTCAATCAAAAGAATTTCAGCTGTTCTACTTGTCTCATTCTGAGGTGAGGACAAATTCACGAATATTATCACAACTTCCTTCAATCAAAAGAATTTCGGCTGTTCTATCACGTCACTTTACGTTCATACATATCTTCAAGGCGCATAATGTAACAAGGGTAAAATGAGAAAGAAGACAATGCATGTTTTTTGGTGACGAAAAGCTCAATTTTATATACATATAAAAACTTCATGTCGAATACAACGGTATTTGAATGTGCGCCCATGCTTCGTATTTCGGGAGGGACACGGGGTGCCACGATCTCTCGGTATGTATAAAAACAATGTCTTTAAACTAACCTCCGCCGCTTCCCTCCACTCATAATGAAGCTGAAGCAATTACTGTAAAGAAACAAATGCAGATGAAGCATGGAACTGAACGCCACTGGCGATCAGAATTCTGCATCCGTTAAAAAATTATGGTGTTCTGTTCTCCGCGCAATATGATTACGACAATGTCAAATCAGCAGGGTAAATACTGCAAAACTTGCAACGATACGCTTCTGTTACGCACTGCACAGTTATCGCATTGCAACACCAAGCCGAGCCAAGGAGTCTGCAGGAGCGAACAACCAGCGCTAACGTTGCGGGCGAACATTCAGCGTCAGAGCCGTTGAAATCATGGGGAATACCTCACACTCACTCCCTTTCGCTCCTCTGCAATCGATACGAACGTGTACTGGCCACTCCGCGGAAGTTTGGAAAGCCTGAAGGCAACAGACCACTTCGAGGACCTGAGAATTAATGGACTGGACAACATTAAAATGGAATCACCTCACTCGGTATTGCGCCAAACGCCACACACGTTCTTCTAAACACGAAAATGAAATTTTGGGTTGATACACGTCAAGAATTTCGTGATTATTTGAGTGACGAGGTCGTTCTCAGGAAAGATGATGCTGGTTGGACTCCTGTGAGTGGGTCGCATTTCTTCAATAACTTACGCATGTTCCCGACTTCAGCGAAACATTTCATTCTAACTCCTGGGCAATTACCTTTCTCTTTAATGTGAATTTCATTATAAGTGCCACACGCTCCTGTTCGTATGATGGGGTATGTGGTTTCGTAGTTTTTCTTGCAAAGAAATTAAAAACAAGATACTTTAATTAAGCTTTAATAAAAAAAATCGTTCTAATTTGTTCTGAAAGTTAATTTTTGTTTCTCCACATGGCTTTTTAACAGATCCCTGCCACACGAAACTTACTTTTACTTTCTAAGATTTCATTCGAAGCAAAACGTTTTCTACACTGAAAATAATTTTCACTCTATTCTGATGACGCGGATAAGAAATTCGTATCACTTGTTACGAATTCGTAGGCTCGAGGCCAACCCAACTAAATAAATTTGTGTCCAACTTATTGACTAGTGTTCCAGCTAAGAACAAACATTTCTATACGGAAACGATGTCTCTATATTAATCTGATTTATAACGGCGACATAATTACTTATAAATCCAATATTCGTAGCATGTAAATCTAGACGCGTGTACTTTCGCATACAAAATCGTTCCAAACGGAAATACGGAAATTGGAATACGTCACTTTGCGAAACATTAGAAAAGCCTTGACAAACATCACTTACTCTTTACATGCAATACACAACACAGCAGTCTGAACGTTGGACGAAGGTCAGGAGCGAGAAACGTGGGACTTGGCAAGACCCGTTCCAACACTTTCACTGGCCCAGTGTACACGGAACAGCTACACAAACGCCCGTTGATTCTTCACAATTAGTTTATCGCGTCTGCAATGCCTAACATTCCACTGATAAAACTTCTAAACGGCGTAAAATGTAATATCCTGGCGCCTATCTGTCTATCAAACACTGGAACATAAGCGATAGTAGTTTCCCTGGCTCTCACAGAAAGATGTGACGAAACTAAATTAATTCAGGTTATTGTAACCGGTAAATGAACACACGATTCCTGGCGACAATCGCTTAAATATGGAAATGTGCATAACACAGATATAAATAATTCGCCCTGAAACACGAATGCGACAAAACCTATGGAAATAATATAATTTCCTGCTGCAAATTTTTCCTTCGCTTATCAAAATCAAACACATCACATCCGGTCGAAATACGAATTGGAAACCATAACGCTTTTAACTTCTTTAAATCAGACGAAAATACCAAAAATTATACAAAATGATATTTTATTCAAAATAACCGCTAACGACTTTCACAAGAATCGAATAAAATTCCGACTGGGGTTAACGAAATCACAAAATTCCAAAACATATTTAAAAAAAAATCCGTCTCCGATAATAGTAACACTTCACCTCACATTTCGTTTCTTGGGATGTCCAGAGGGTATGGACTCACCTGGGTAGCATCAGTATACGGTGTCGAAGAGTTCTTATTGATCAACTGAGATCCAAACATTGGTATTCCACTGGAGGTAGGGCTACTCGAGCGGCTGGAATCGTTCTGCTGCGGCACCATTATATTCGTTAAAAGAACTTTCACTTAAAACACCAACAAATACTATACACTTCTAATTTTTATTAAATGTGCTTAAATTACATCCACGGAGGCAATTCGTACAGATACAGGAAAGAAAATCCTTTACGCTGGCTAAATATTATATATGACTATACTATTATTTTTCAAACTGACACTTTTCCACGGTTTTGCGGGGATAGTCCCGTCAAACTTGCTTGCACCCAAACACATCCATCTAAACGCTTTCTGCCTTCTGTTAGCATAACACGACGACTGAAGCCTCCGCGTGGCCGAGTAATGCATATCTACCAGTGTGAGCCGCAATACATCTCTACGTAGCAAGCTCTCGGCCAATCACGTACGTGGAAGGGAGGAGTTTCGCCCCTTCAAGTGGGAACTCGATCCATCCGAGATAAAGCAGCACACGGCTGTTTGGAAGCGGTGCAGACTTCAGGCACTTAATCACGAAAAATTCGGTTTTCTTATTAAAAATAATTATCATTTTACTAATATGTTACAGAATCTATTCCGTTCGCGTAATGTAAACCAATATTTCCTTTAAATAGAGCTAGTACCTCGACAAGTGCGCTGTTTATAAATGGGAATAAATCGAGGTACAGCGTTCAATCCCTGAATCCTTGTAACGAAACAAACCAAATTACGCGAATGTTCACTTTTCAAATAATTTTACATTGACTTAAGGTGCTCTAGAGACCCTCACAGTTCAACAGACGAATGGAAAGTGAAGCTTTATCCACATAGAAACTATCTACGCTGAAGCGCCTAAATATTCCGTCTTTCTGCCACCAGATGTCAGACAAGAACTGACTGCCTGGAGTGCGTAGTACGCATGTGATGTTCCTGCTTCACTGCAAGCATTACTCAGTGGCGGTTTCGAAGGGCGGTAGACAGGGGTGAGAGTCAAATTTGTTGGGAAACTTTTAGGAAACGATCTATTTTTTCTCGCCAACCCACAATTACTCCAAGTAACATACCCAGTTACTCTTAACTTCAGGGAACTCGGAGATCAGGTTTAAATTACTTCAAGTGACAATGTATTCATGTCAGGTTGAACAGAAGGTAAGATTTCAATGTGGGGTTTTCCAAATTACGCTGGCCTAGAGACATAACTTTACCTACACAAAACATTAACCCTTTAAAGACTGGATTTCTTCTAAATAATGTACAAATATTCGTTCGAAATATGCATTCGTCTCTGCTACAGAACCACCTAGTTGATGTTATTCAAGAAAACAATCACTGTTTATTGTGATAACCATACAAAACACAAATACACTCGTGGGCGAAATGCATAGTTTTAGTACGTTAAAGCAGGTGGTACATACAGTAACCACTGGGTTTAAAAGGGTTAAACATTCGGTTTTTTTTTTCATTTACAAAATGAATGTCTAACAATTCCCATGTGCGTATGTGTTTGTTTTTAAATGTGTTTACTGGGGGGACCTTGTGCGAGAGTAGCTACCTGGCCTGATGGTACAACCATCCAACCACCGCTTCACCTTACCCAAGTGTCTACCTATCTGTTAAATCCTATGACACTTTTGTTTAAAAATGTCATTCTTCCCGTAACAGTTTTACAAGTATTTTTGTTTGGAACATAATTATACTTCCCATATAAAGTGCATGAAACACTTCAGTTTCATCTCCTTCAACTGTTTTCTTGCTGAAACGACAAGTAGCGCCTACATAAATTTGTTTTCTTATTATATATTCTGCTGACGATTTGAAATAATGAGGAGCGCTACATTCTAGGATGTGATGCCGTGTTGTCTGGTAGAAGCTCGCCCACGTTTTGGTGGAACGTACTGCCACCATCTTCATGGCTGAAGAGTAAGCCAGACAGTAAGTAACTTAGCAACAAGCAGGCGATAAGTAAAGCGATCAGTGGAAGCAGTATGGTTGATTCTTCGAAACGTCGGTGAATTTATGCACGATAATGCGTCAATTTTCGTGTCACATCTCAATTTCTCTAGGTAAATCTACACAATCCATCTGCTCTCTTCTCGCCTGTCCGTCTTACGTGACTTCTGTCCCGCCAGGCTTGATAGCGCTGTATTAATGTTATCTCCAAACGATTTGCTTTAAGTTACATTGACTCTGGTGGGTACAAATTGTGAAGCACAAGGAAAAGCGATATACATATCAGCGAACAGGCTGGTCTAGTGGTAATGCTGTAGAGTTGTATTCAAGAGGTACTCGGTTTGAATCTCGATTAGGACAGCGACTATCGTAACTGAAGTTTTCGTGGTGTTCCTCAGTCCAGCCAGGTATATGCTGGGATAGTACCTCGATCGCTTCCTTCCAAATCCTTTCCAATTCATCATTCATGTATCATCTTACCATTCGAAGCTATGCAATGTGTAGATTCTAAAGGGTTATGACGACGGTGTATAACACAGAATTACTAGTTTTTTGGACTTTTTCACTCGTCTGGTATTCTAGAGAGACACTAGACCAGTGACTGAGATTAGTTAGCTCTTTCTAAGGGGCCCAAATGAGTCTCTTCACCTGAGGACGGAAACAGATCCAGATTCCGAAACGTCGTGTTTTCTGTTATGTAGAACGAAATTCTGTATGTAGTCCGTGTTCTGGGAACTCGGGGAATGCTTTCGTCTCACGCATCGATCCGTAACTACGGTGTACTTATTCAACGACACTAAATCAACTAAAAGTTAAGTAACGTGAAGTGGAGTGATGATATTTAAACCCTTCGCGTGTTAAATTGGAAAGGCGTGTAGAGGGAAGCGGTCAGAGGCAAATTTCTGGAATGAGTCAGGACAGACACCAAAAAATCTCAGTGCAGACAGTAGACACTGCGAGATTCGAGTCAGGTGTCTTCAGAACATAAATCAGGGACGTTATTTCCACTTTACACGGGTTTGTAAATACGCATAATAGAAGGTAAAGTTAGCCCTGGACCAAATATCATGAAGGCGTATGGGGGAGTTGGTGTATAACTCCACAATTCTTAACTTCGGCTCTAGATGGAGATGAGTGGTCAGCTTCGCGCTCCTACCGCTTTACCCGCCAGGTTACAGCCCCCGATACCCATTGTATAGGAGACTTAGTGGGTCCGAGAGTCAGTCTAGACGCTGTGGAGAAGAGAAAACTCTCTTGCACCTGCCGAGGATCAAACCCAGACTTTTCGGTAGTCCAACCCGTGGCCTATAGTGGCCATAGTAATTCTACGATTAAATCAAATCGAAATCTGTCCTTAGTCTGGTCGTGTAACAATGACGCAAAATTATCAATAAACAGCCGACATATGTTCCTAATTATGCCCGTATTATCTCTAGCATTGAGAATTCGAGGTAAGTGCAGTGCAGGTCACAAGGACGGTTAGCAATAACGCGTTATCACTCGGTTTTGCGTCGTAATTTCTGGCGGATCAATACGACCTCGCTGCCTCAAGTATGTCTATATGTATCACCATCCTCGGCGACATGAACTCCGCATTCACACGCTGCACTTGTGTTGCTCCGGAACTGTGCACCCCTTCGCAACGGACGCCCGTCCCTGTGACTTTCCTGATGGCCGACTGCACCTTCCCAGTACACTGGGTAATATTAGATTAGGTTACTTCATATTTCGATTTACACACGGTAGACGCGAGGTCTAAGGCATGAACTGTCTTCGCTCGCTCGAACGCTGGGATTTCCCAGCATTTTATGGAACCCGAGGGTTCATTGCCGTGTTCACAAGAGCCCTCCACTGGTGCCTATCCTGAGCCAGTTCAATCAAATCCATACCATACCATCCTATCTCTCTAAGATCAATTTTAATTTGTCCACCCACCTACGCCTTAGTCTTCCCAGTCGTCTCTTTCCTTTTGGCTGTCCCACCAATATCCCATATGTGTTCCTCTTCTCCCCCATTCGTTCTATATGCCTTGCCCACCTCATCCTCTTTGACTTGATCATTCTAATTATACTTGGAGAAGAGTACATGTTATGAAGCTCCTCATTATGCAGTTTTCTCCAACCTCCTGTCACTTCATCTATCTTCGGTCCAAATATTCTCCTCAACACCCTCAGTCTGTTCTTCCCTTAATGTCAGAGACCAAGTTTCACACCCATACAGAACCACAGGCAAAATTATAGTTTTGTATATTATAATTTTTAGGTTTTGGACAACAGAGGAGAAGACAAAAGGTTCTGGACTGAATGAAATAAAACGTAAAAGTACCGACTGGATTCAGTTTATTCGGGATATATCCAATGACTAGATCTTGTGTAGAAGGTAATGAGCCGTTGGATTGCATAAAAGGAGGGAACTTCTGTGACCAGCCGAGCGACTAATTAATTTCTCAAGAACGAATCTACTACGTAGGGTTTGTTTGTTAATTTGTCAACTCTTTGTGTAACATTTCCAGGCGGAAGAGCGGTAGCACACCAATAGCACATATCACAAAACGAGGTAGGATTTTCTTATATCAGCATAGAACACACCAAACGGATATTTATTTCTGTTGCTTTCATATCGAGTACGGTTTCACAATACAGACAGCTGGCAGAGAGGCATAAATATAGTAACAAGAAGCGCATTTACATGAACACGTGTTCTGGGTTCAGAAGCAAACATGTCTTTCTCTCTAACTGTGAAGGTTTGCAGCATCAGTTATGATAACCCTAACACTTTCCCCAATGACGAATACTCAATCGTAACATGTCAACCAGTTGATTGAACTTTGCATTATTAAATAACGTTTTACAACTGCAAGAGTTAAAACAATGTACCGTCGAATTGTACGATGATTGTTGAATGACGGAAAGATAAATTTGGATGTGCTATCCAAGAATTATCCTGGACGAACTCGGTGACTATGCCGATCACAGCGGCCACGGTATCTGAGGCAAGAACCGTCTTCGTTCACTCTAATGCTGAGATCGTGGGTTCGAATCCCACTCAAGAAATAGTTGTTTGTGCTGTGTTTGTGCTGTCCTGTGTATAGGTAAGGCTAATCCCCGGTTCAAGAGGTCCTACCATCTGTGTAAAAAAAAAATTACGAAACTGAAGAAGAGGTCACGGTCCAAGAAAGAGCTGTAGAGCCATTGATGAATGAATGAACTCTGAAAAGGCATCATGATAAACGGTATCTAGACCAAAATTCGAACCTTGGACCTACCGTTTACTTGATACAACATGCAGCCATTTCAGTTTGTGCAAGTAATGTGAAAATTACTGATAGCTTATCGCAGATGTTCAAAATGTCTGATTGTAATCTCCAGATAATCATGAAATTATAATGTGGAATGGTTGCACATCATTATGAAA